TTCAATTTTAAAAAAAATAAAATAAAAAAATTATAACTACAATAATAAATATTATTATTTATATTTAATAATTATTTCTGTTTTTTAAAACTTAAAAGATTAAAATTCCTACTTATTCATAAATTTAATTGTAAACATTTTTAATAATGCGATAATAATACGGTAAACACAAATAATAATAATAAAAATGATAATGGTTACATAATAATTTATTAAATTAAAAACATAATACTTAAGTGGAAAAAAAATAAATATTTTGGATATAAACATTTATTTAAAGATAAAATTTCCAACTTCTACTTTTGTATTAAATAAATCTCTTCAAAAAATTCAAGAAAAAATAAATAAACAACAATGATTTTTATTTAAAAAATTATTTATTTTACTTAATTCTAAAAAATATGATATGTTAGTTAAATAAAAAACAAAATTATAATAATTATACTTGTTATAAATTATCATTCTAATTATAAACTATACTGGTAATTTAGTTATAATTAAAATTGTTTAAAATAATATTTAGAAGAAAAATAGAAAGTGTTACAATAATTTATTTTACTAATTGGGATTCTAGTACCTATGCATTCTAAAATTATAGACTGTGTATGAATGCAATAATTTCTTCAATTTAACTATATATTCAATCATATAATTATATTTTAATTATTGTCTGCATAATAATTAATAAAGTCATAATAATTTAGTGTTATTCATTCAGAAAAAAAAAATTATATTTGTCCATTGTAATTTTAATTAAATTTTCATTAAATTTCAATTATGCATAAATTACATATTGGAAATAATTTAAGAAATTTTGGAAATATGAAGAAAAATATTCTGAATTAATAACTATTGTAAATACTTCACAAAAATATCGAAATTATTATTAATTTAAATTAATGATAACAGAGATTTGAAAGAAGAAAAATAATAATGAATTAATATTCTTGCTATAATTCAGAATTAATTAATAATAAAATCAATTTGATATTCAAATGAATTTATAAGAAAACAAAATTATAAAAAGGGAAAAATGCCTGGGTTGATTTATTATTGTTTATATAAAAGATTTATTAAAATTAAAGCAAATTATTTATTGTTAAAATTAATGTTACATGTAATTCAATTCAATTAAAATTCATTAAAAAAAATTGAATTACATGTAATATTATTAATTAATTACAATGAAATCTGTTGTTGTCGAATCTGCAAAATCTACTACAACGAGTTTCTGCCTATTGGTAACACAAAAATTTTTATAATATTGAGAGTTGTAATTCAGAGAGTCTTTAAAACATAGAGATAAAATTATAATAACTTTTTTGCTTCATTATCAAATTAAATATTGTTCTCTGCAGATTTTGTATATACATATATGAGATTTTCATTTAAAGAGATTCAACTGTATATGCACATGAATGTGTAGAAATGAATGTATTTTAACTATGTAATTTTATATACCTATGTAATAATATTTTTTTGTTAGAATAATTAAAAAATTATTTTGTAAAATTACTTAATAAAATATCTTAACAAAATTACTTAATAAATACATGAAGGAGGGCTCCCTTCTTGTATTTATTAAGTAATAAATACATGATTGGGCCAATAAAAAAGCACAATAATAAATTGTTAAGGTTATTGGGAACTATAATTATCATAATAGATCTCAAAGTCTAATTACCGCTCATTATTATTAAAAATTAAATAATATACAAGTTTTAAATTACTTTAATTCACATTTTAATTTTATTAATTTTTAATAAATTTTTTTTCAAAACATATTAAAATTATATAATTATGTAATTAATTTCCTGTTCTATGCATAAAAAAGAAAGGAAAAGAATTATCATAAATAAATAACTTGTTTGCTATTTTAAAAGTCCACGTTTATTAAAAATTATTAATATTCTTAAAAATAAATAGATATACATACATACATATAAGTATATAAGAACCGGAACCGGTTAAAATTCTAATTAATTAAATAAACAAAAAATATATGTATATGTGTGTGTGTATTATTAAAGCTTCACTCTACTTTTCTATAATTTAAATAGTTGGCATTTTATCTAATGTTTATTTATTAAAAATTATTGCGTTCTAAAATCAATAACTTGAATTTACTTCAATTAAAATATGTATAATAAATATAATAGATATAAACAACATTATGTACATATGTATGTTCCTATTATGTAATATGATGTTTATAAAATTAATTTAAATATCTAGTAATCTTAGATCTATTTTTCTTGATAAATATTTAGAAATTCACTGAATATTGTTGAAATTTTGTTTTTGTATTGATAGTAAGGTAGTAAACAAGTATTGTGTATAATTGAACTCTGGCAATATTTATATTCATTAATATTTGAATTATATTTTTAATTCAGTACTAATATTATTACATATAATTTGTTATACTTAATTAGAAGGCTCAAGGCAGAACTCCAGGCAGAGATTTCTTGGGTCCCATTTTTTTTTTTGGCGGGCTACGGACCTACCGAATGTAAATGCTAGAGGCCTTGGCCGGTTTTTGGGGAAATCGGGCTGGTTCTATTGAGGGAGAGGGGAAAGATCCGTGGGTAATACAACAGGCCTAAATACCACCTTGGTAGCCTAAGTGAACCCTTCGTTGAGTCGTGCAACCTACCTACCTAATTAGAAGGCATACATATCCAAATTGTTAGGACATTTGCTCAATATTTAAATATTTTAAGCCCTTTTCTTAAATCTCGTTCACTATAAAATCTCATTAATTTAATAAGCCAAAACCTATTTATCACTTTTATTGAACATAGTAATATGTATATAAATAACAGCTCAATAAAAAAATATATTTTAAATTTGTAATATCAAATAATATTAAATTAATTGAATTTACGTTTTCATGTCCAAATAGACTTCATAATTGTTATGTTTTTTTTTTCTGCTAGTAAACGCAAAAAGCAAAAATTTAAAATTTTGAGTTCAAATATCAAAAATTAATTATTTTTAATTCACATATTTTATATATTATGTACATATGTATATATTTTGTATGACATACATATATACATAAAAATATTTGTACTTTTATGTCATGGAAAAATAAATATTAATTTTTTTTTTTATATTATTTTTGCAAAAGTTCAATAGGTATTTTACACTTTGAATTCAAATATTTAATTTGAGTCATAAGAAATTCAAATTAATTAAAATATATATAAGTATATACATATATATATTATATAGACAGACAGACTGTTAATTAATTATTTCTCTCGTTATCATTTAAGAAAGATTAAAGCTTTTCGGCCAATGACTCAAAATAATAATATATAAAATGCAAAGAACATTATGAAAAAAAGCAATTATTTCTAATTTGAAATGGAATATTAATTAAGGCGACAAAATAAATGAGTAGAGTAAAGCGTAATATATTTCATATTTAAGTACCTTACCCTTGATTTTAATAAAAGTTTTGGTATTATTTTTTTTTTGAAATACTACAGTAGTTGTTCTGAAAATCTGTATTGTTGAATAATTTTGATGAGATTCAAAGTTAAGCTCATTATTACATTTACTGTTTCATATGCAGTTTATTAATAAGCTGTTTACTTTGATTTTAATCAACTACAATAGTTTTTGTCAATTTAAATGAGTTTAATTTTTTAAATGTGTATGAAAAATAATTTTTAAGACTTTGAATTCAATTTAATATTATATAAATTTTTATTAACTTAAATTATATAAATTTTCTGTTTTATTTTCCCCGAATCTCAAATAAAATTATAAAAATTGGACTGTTTTTGGGAAAACTAGATTTAGAGGCCTCATAGCCCGAGAAGGAGGGCTAAATCAAAATATCGTTTGATGTTTTTTTTTGTTCGGCTGGACGTATTAATTGAAGGAGTTTTGAACACCTTGTATCTTTATATTGAAATACCTTTTACATTACTATTTTTCCAATATACTTTGCTTTTACTCTCATTCGCTCTTTATTTTTGCTCTCATTTTGTTATGCGTTAAATGTTAAAGTAAGTGATATTGTTCTTAATTAATATGTTATTTATGACAACACAGTTACCTTTATACAAGTTACTGATTGCATTATTCCAACAATTATATTGTGTCACAAATTATTTGCAATAAATTAAAAAAAATGACATATTGCAAGCTATAATTGAATTTATTTTGCACTTTTTCTATTGAGAAATCGTTTAGCAACAATTTTATTTGTTGCCACGATTTTTCTTACCGAGCCACTCAAAAGAAAGGGACTAGCATATTTAAATATAATTTAAATATTACAAAAAATTAATTAACAAATTAGTGAATCAAAGATAAATTTCAATAATAATTAAATAGATAAAAAACCTGTTTATAATTTCAACAAAATAATTTCATATTGTTTGATGACGAACAAAAATTTAATTATATGGTAAATGGGTGTGCACGAGTAATATAACAATAATAATTAGCGTATTGACCTCCAAAAATTTATTTAGAAATAATGAAAAAAATAAAAAATTGTCATTTTGTTTTCTTCTTTTCATTAACTGCGTACCTAAAGTATGTAATTAAATTTTTCTTAATATTTAAAAAAAAAAAAAAAACCTTACCAATTTTTATAAAGCTATCATTTTAAATTTAGTAGTGTGGGTTGTATGGATGAGTTAGAGATGAATTTTTTTTTGTTTTTATCTTTCTATTTTATTATAGCATTTTTATTTGAATATCCAAAGTACAATTTTTCGTTGCCATAAATTAGATATGCTATATACACATGTATATTGTATACATTTTATATACACACATTAAAATTTATATTGCTGGTAATAACATGAACTTTGCATACACACATGCAATATTTAAATTTTATAATAAATGATAAAAACTGACCAAAATTATTTTTTTTTCTGCTATTGCAAAAATTAACCTTGACTGATTTTAAAAAATTATAAAGAAGAAAAATATTTATATATATACCTATTTTTTTATTATTCTCTTTTCAGTTTTAAAAAAAAAAAAATCAAAAATCACTTAATTTTTAACTTTTATATACGATACACGTTAAACACAAAAAGAGAATCCAGTAGCGATCACTCAATCAACAAATAGGATCAAATAAGATTTTTGTATTTAATTTTGTTGATCAATATTATACCTGCAAACGTATACTAATATATTGTTGTAATATAACATAGAAATTAAATTATTTAATCATGGCTGAAGCACATTCAGCTGTTGCATTTTCATTTTCAATTACACATGAAGGATGGGATATTAATTATGATCAAGAAGTTTTAAATCTTGTATGGCAATCTGGTCTTCGATCATGGAAAAAACGTGTAGCAAGAGCAAGAGTAAGTTATTTTAAAAATATTTTTAATTATACTCACATAAGTAATTGTCCTTTCTTTTCAAAAAATTTTATGTAATATAATTATATATTAATTATATTTTAGTATAACGTTTGAAATAAAGTTGTTCCGCAGCGTCACTTAATATATTCAATCGGAAACAAAATATTTTTCTTCTAATTAATAAACTAACAAATTAATAAATTTCTTCTAATTCTAATTAAAATTAATAATGGTCCCGATTAATTAAAATATTAAAAAATTCGACAATAACCTCTGAAACTTAAATTATTTATTTCTCAATTTACACAATAAAAATTTTTAAAATATTTTCAAATTGATAATATTTATGAAAATTTGTATAGCTTCTAAGAGAACTTAAAAATTCCCTTCAAAATTATACGATCTACGATATTACTATAGAGTTCATTAAATATATTCATAAAATATAAAATTATTGGAATAATTATTTTCCATAATTAACAAAATTTTAATTATTAAAATAATTGTAATTTATTTTAATTTAATATTTATCCGCAAATTAAGTGATTGTATCAAGTGTGTTCATTCATCTATTAAGTGTGTAATTTATTCAATGTTTTTAATTCAAGTAAAGCTTAAAATATTAAAGTTTTTCTTTCCGCAGTCAATCACCCTTTAATATAAAAAATATTTAACATATACCTATAATTGAAAGTAAGAATTCTTAATGATAATGAAAATATTTTAATATTACCTTATTGAATATTTACCGAACCACACCTTATGCAGTGATAAAGTGAAGGGTCATCAGGAAATAAAAACTAAAAAAAAAAAAGCTTGAATTATTTTCAAACTGTTCATATTCCGTTAAGTTAAAAAAAAAAAAAGTATTAAAACGAATCCTTGAATGAAATCAAACTTTTTCTTTTTATAATTTTTATCCTTTAAAAATTTAATATTTAAATCGATGCTTAATATTTATAATATTTTAGTTGAAAATTAAAATTTCATTATTAAAGATGACTTACTCGTATTCCCGTCATATTTATATTTATTATTTTTATTTATTACAGAATGGTATCAGAAATGGTGTTTATCCAGCTCATATACAAAGTTTATGGTTAATAACAGCTATTGCAGCTGGTTTACATTATTCTGGTAGACAAGTTCCATTTAATTTAGTTAATAGAATATTACCATATTTGCCATCACAAAGTGTTACATATCAATTATTAGCATGTTTCTTATCAGCTTTAATTGTATGGTTATCAATATGTTATATGATGCGTTATACATTAAAATTATTATTAATGTATAAAGGATGGATGTATGAATCAAGAGCACCTGGTAGTAAAATTTCATTAGTTACAAAATTATGGAGTGTTGCTGTTAAAATATTATCAAGTTGGAATAAACCTGGTTTATATAGTTTTCAAGGATCACTGCCACGTCTTCCATTACCATCATTACATGATACAATGAGCAGATATTTAAGATCAGTAAGACCAATATTAGATGATGAAAATTATCATAGAATGGAAGCATTAGCAAAAGAATTTGAAGGTACAATTGGTAAAAAATTACAACGTTATTTAATGTTAAAAAGTTGGACATCAACAAATTATGTATCTGATTGGTGGGAAGAATATGTTTATTTAAGAGGTCGTAGCCCATTAATGGTAAATAGTAATTTTTATGGTACTGATGCAATAATGATGAGTTTAACAAATAATCAAGCAGCAAGAGCAGCAAATGTTTCATATTTATTATTAAAATTTAGAAGAATTATTGAAAGACAAGAATTAGAACCAGTAAGTAACATTTTTGATTGCTTTGAATGCAAAATTTTGAAATTTTTGAATTAATTGAAAGTATCTAAATAATAAATTTTATGAATTAATTAATTATTTCTATTTAATTTTCAGATTATGGTTCAAGGAATGATTCCATTATGTTCATCACAATATGAAAGAACATTTAATACTGTAAGAGTTCCTGGTTTAGAAACTGATCATATTGCACATTATCGTGATTCAAATCATATTGTAGTACTTCATAAAGGTTGTTATTACAAAGTGGTTATTTATTATAGAGGAAGACTTTTAAGACCATGTGAAATTCAAAAGTTTGTTTGATTTATTTTTTTATTAAATAAATGAAATTTGAATTTAATAACTCTATTTTTTTCTTTTAAATAATTTTAGACAAATGGAATATATTTTAAATCATGATTCAAAACCATTGCCTGGTGAAAAACATTTAGCTGCATTAACAGCATGGCAAAGATCAAAATGGGCTGAAGTACGTTATGAACATTTTGCGCGTGGTGTTAATCATTTCTCATTAAATACAGTTGAATCGGCAGCTTTTGTTGTTTCATTAGATGAAGAACCTTTTGAATTTGATAAAGAAAAACCAGAAAAATTAGATCATTTTGGACGTCTTGTATTACATGGAAATGGATATAATAGATGGTTTGATAAAAGTTTTACCGTATGTGTTGGTACAAATGGACGTGTTGGTTTCAATTCAGAACATACATGGTAAATATAAGAATAAAAGGAATAACCTTTTCGTTGTTTTACAATACATTCAAATGAATTTTGTTTAGAAAATTTGGAAAAAATTTAAAAAGTGTGAATTTCTATAGTAAATTTAAATTTCTTATAAGTTCTTTAATTTACTTGAGATTTCGCTTTGAAGCGAAATAGTCAAATTTCAATTTAACTAATGTTGACTTGAAAACCAGAAACGACTTAAATTTTATGTATTTTTCTATTTCGATTTGTAGTTTGATATTTTTTTCAATTTACTCAAATTTCCATGGCTTCATTGTTTTTTTTCGACCACTGAAAATTCCGATGGTTTTCATAATTTCGTAAAAATTCTTTCACTTTAAAGATTCATTTTAAAAAACATTTAATTCTATATTGAATTTAAAATAGTTAACAAATTTTATACAAATTTTCTAAACAAAACGTTATTAAATTAATTTTATAAAATAACTGGTAAATTAAAAAAAAACGAAAAGTATGTTAATACCGCCAAAAAAAATTTTAAATTGCACGAATTTTTGGAGCACCCTTTCCTAATTATATTCACTCAATTTTTCTATTACTTTACAACTTTTTTCTTAAACTGTTAAAATAATTTTCTGGATCTTCTTCTTGAAAAAATTTTTATAAAAAAAAAAAAAATTTAATTCATAATTATTCCAAAAATATTTTCAAATTATCATCAAAAATTATTAAAAAAAAAAAAAAAATTGAACACAAACAAAAAAAATAATCACAAAAAAAAAAGGGGAGATGCTGCAGTTGGATCACATATCTGGGAATCTTATGTAATGGATGAAGCTCTAGGAGATTGGTAATAATCCTATAATTGGTCAACTCATATCAAACTCATACATTTTATTTTTTTATTTTATTATATTTTTTTTTTCCTCTTTACTTCAAATCAAAATTTTTTTTAATTTGGTTTCAGTTTTAATTATTTTTCCTTTAAAATTATAATTACAAAATTAATTTCTTTTTTACTTTTTATAATTCATTTTCATTTCTCATTCAAAATGAACAAAAAATCATCATTTTCATAAATTTTTTCTATTTTTTTTTTTCCTCTGTATTTTAATTCGGAAAAAGGGTTCTAAAATGAAATACACAAGTGGTTGTTAATTTAAATGACAACTAATAAAAAAGCTTTATAAAAAAGCGAACACAGAATTTAAAAAAATATTCACTTTAAAAAAAAAAAAAAAAATATATAAAATATTTTTTAAATATTACAGAAGTGTTGGTGTTACAGATTAAAAAAAAAATTGTATAATTAAAAAACAAATAATTTTATGTGAAACACAGGTCAATCTACATTCAGAATAATTGTAAATTATTTACAAAAAAAAACAGTGTGTTAATAAATTTTTAGTTTTAAGTAAAATGAAATTATACAAAAATACATAAATTTAAAATATTAATAATTTTAACAAATAAAATTTGAAAGGATCTGAAGGTTTATAAATTAGTATTTCAGTCGATTGTGTTCACAAATCACATGTATATAATAATCTTAAGTAAAACTTAATTGTTTTATATGTAAAATTAAGGATTTTTTTTTTTAAGCAGAAGTTTTGGTTTTAACAAAATTATGGTGATATTATACATTTTTTAGATTCCAGACAGAAAAATCACTTTAATCATACCAACGTGATTTAAAAATAAAATTAAAAAATTTTCAAAATATTATTGCCTTTTCTAGACTTGACTAATTTACGACTCAACTTAGAATTAATTTAAATTAAATGAATCATGTTGATATTTTTAATTATTTTCACATTTTTATATATGACTCAATAAATAATAAATTTTATTAAGTAATATTATGCTGTCAAAGAAATGGTTTAATCATCATCTCTAGGCCCTATTTTATCAACTACTTTTTACTTTTTTTTAATCAATAACTCAAAAAATTTGCAATTTATCGGGTTGCATCGAGTGTAACAGAAAAAATAAAAGTAAAAGCTGTTGGTAGAAAGGGTCCTGTTATGTTAACACATTGTTGACCGGGAACGTCATATGACGTCTTTCGATAACGAAACGTTATTGACCGGCAACGTCATATGGCGTTTTTCGATAAGCTAATGTAATTGGCGAAGGATTATAAGTTCAAATTGTGGTTACTGTTTACCATTTGTATTCGTTACATTTATAATTGAAACTGTAAATATATTATTGAAAAGTTCTCAGATTATGGAATGCTAGAGAATGGGTAAACACCCGGTCAACAATGTGTTAAAATAAAACATTTCATTGCTCTATAAGTTTATTAATAATTATTTATTTTTAATAATTATGCACATTCTCATGAGTTTCGTTATGTGCAATTTTAATTTTTATTTTGTTGAAAGCACAATTGCAAGTAGTAAAAAAATACATCAGAAAAATCGTCACAATTTTAACAAATTGCAATGTTATCAAATTCTACATAAATTTTGATATTAATTTAATATTAATTTAAAAAAAAAATACGAAAAATTAAAAATCATTTCAATTCATTTCAATTCATCTACAACAATTTATTTTACAATGCATAATAATTTGTATTGAAAATAAAAGCAATTTATATTTTATTTATTAAAAAGGATTATTTTTTTTTATATTATGCAACACTTGTTTATTTTTTAATATATCACAAGGATATATAACTACATATTTTTAATTAATAAACAAGAAATCATTTTGATAAAGAGCGGTATTAGCAGAATTTAATTATCAAGAATTTCAAATTAAAAATAGTTAATGAAGATTAATGGAAATCAAGAAATAACTATTCTAATAAATGAAAAAGAATAAAACATTTAATAATCGAAATTGAAAAAATTTATAGGGCCGATGCCCCGGTAATGGGTCATGCTTGGGAATATACATTTGGTGATGAAATTGAAGGGTAACAAATATACTATAAATAATAATATAAATTATTTTTTTAAGTTTTTGTTTTTCCATTTGTGATAAAAAAAATTGTCTTCTTTGTTTTTTTTTTGGTCTTTAGTATTTAGTTATGATTTTCGTGTTTGTAAAATTTATTTTTAAAAATTAAATATATTCGAATATAAAAATTTATTTTTTTTTTCAAATTCTGTTAATGATAAATTTATATAAATAAGAAAAAAAAAATTGTAGTTTTAAAATTTTTATATTAAATTTAATTGGTTTTTATTAATTAATTGGAAATCAATTGGAAATAATATTGTACAAATAATTGGTTTTATAATTTTAAAAATATTTGAAATACTAAAATAGATGATTTTCTTGGAGTTTTTTCTATCTTTGTTTTTTTTTTTGGTTTGTTTTATTTAATTTAATTAATTTACGTTTGGTTTTTTACTAATTCTTTAATTTAACTTTTATTACTATTTTTTTTTTGTTTTCTTGTATTTTATTTTGTTTTATTTTTTTTTAACCATTCATTCATTAGTTATTCATAAACTAAAAATCGAAGTAAAAAATTGTGATTCGTAAGGAGAACTTGGCAAATTTTGAACAAAATCTCAATTATTTTAGTAGTAATTTTCTTATTAATTATTATTATAAAATTTCATTAATTTTTTGTGTATTAATTTTAAATTATCACAATATTTTACTTCAATTCTATGTTTTCATCATTTTTATGTTGTCTATTATATAATTTCGTAATTTCAATATTAATATTATTAAATTAATTATTAATAGCTATGATGAAGATGGTAATGTAAGAGGAACTCCAGAATTTCAACCACCGACTCCAACTAGATTAAATTGGGATTTAGCAAATGTTATTCCAAAAATTGAAGAAGCAGTTGTTGATGCTGAAAAACTCTTAAATGTATAGCTAATTTAGAAAAATTTTTTTGTAAAATTGAATTTTAAATAATTTTATTTTTAGGATGTAGAATTGAGAATTATGCTCCATGATAAATATGGTAAAGGATTTATGAAAAAATGTCGTTTATCACCGGATGCTTATATTCAAATGGCACTACAATTAGCATATTATCGTGATGCTAAACGTTTTTCGTTAACATATGAAGCTTCAATGACTAGATTATTCCGTGAAGGTCGTACAGAAACTGTTCGTCCTTGTACAATTGAATCATGTGAATGGGTTAAATCAATGGATGATCCAAATTTCAATGTAAATATAAAAATATTTTTCATTTTATACATGTTACGCTATAATTTTCATTATTAATTATATTTTATTTATCTTTAATTTATTTTTTATTTAATTAACATTATAATATAGTCTTTAGAAAGAGTTGCATTACTACAAAAAGCATGCAATCGGCATCAATTAGGTTATCAAGATGCAATGTGTGGAAAAGGAATTGATCGTCATTTATTCTGTTTATATGTTGTCTCGAAATATTTAGAAGTAGATTCACCATTCCTAAATGAAGTTTTAAGTGAACCATGGCGTTTATCTACTAGTCAAACACCACATGGTCAAACACCAAAAATGGATTTGAAAAAATATCCAAATTGCATTAGTGCTGGTGGTGGTTTTGGTCCAGTTGCTGATGATGGTTATGGAGTTTCTTATATAATTGCTGGAGAAAATTTATTATTTTTCCATGTATCAGCAAAAAAGAGCTGTGAATTGACGGTAATTTTTAATGAATAAATCATAAATTTAAAATAGAGAACTTTTTTTTACTAAACATAAATTCCATTTATTATATTTTAGAGTGCTTCAAGATTTTCAAAGAATATTGAAAAAGCATTAGATGATATTCGTATTATGTTCGAAGATTATATGTCAAAAAAAGAAGCCGAAAAGAAAAAATTAGCAAATGGTAGTTCCAAGGAATGATAATTTATTATATTTATATTGACATTAGAATATTATAAAAAAAAAAAATATTTTGAAATTAATATAGTAATTATAATAATTACATTTAAGTTTTAATTGTTATTATAGAAAATAAGTAAAAAATTCAAAATAAAAATAAAAACAGAAAAAATTAAAAAAAAAAACTTATATAAACTTACAGAAATTAAGTGCAAAATAAAAACAATCATCAATTTTAAATATTTTTAAAAAATATAATTTTTAAACTGACTTAATAAATTTAATAAAAAAATAATAAAGAAATTTTGCAAAAAGAAAAAGTAATACTTCATAAAATCTAAGACTTTGAACTTGATTTATTTAAATTTAGATTTTTGTTTTATATTTTCTTGATTAGTTTCTTATATTTTTTTGTAATTGAAAGCTAAATGATTAAAAAATAATTTAAAAATTAAGATAAAAAGAAAGCAATTTATTTCATATTTTGTTTAAAACGACTATAAATAGTGTAATAAATAAATTTAATATTAAAATCTGTAATTTGTCATTCTTGTAGAACAACAATGCAAATTTTGAAATACTGTTTTTTGTAGTAGTTTTTTAAATGTAGAAAACAGGCAAATTTGTAAAAAAAAAAGTTTTAGAGAATTTTATTTTATCAAAATAAAACCATGTAAATAAGTGAAATGTAAATTTGATATATTGACGTTGAAAATAATAAAAAAAAAAATAATTAAATCTGCAATTTTAAATTAATTTGTTGAATTTTTTTTTTGCGACATAAATTACCTTATTTGTATTATTCCATTTAAAATTTTTTGAATATAATGGTCTTTGTTAAATCTCTGCGGTCAAAACTTGCTAACTCGAAAACTGAAATTTCTCAGGATACAAGTATATTAAAAATTATGTTTCCAAATTCACCCATCTTATAATAAACTTTTGCTCAATAAAAAAAGTTTTACCTACTTTAAAGAGCCTATCCAATGGTTAATATCTGGTTTCTTACTAAATCTAAAACATTTTGTGGAATGCACAACTGCAACCTGAAGAGCACTATTAACAACATTGATGAAATGTAAGAAGAAATTAAAGTTATGAAAGATAATTATATATTAATGATATATTATTTAAATATATTGGGTTAGTGACTAGCAATCATTCGTGCATTTCATAGAACAAAGAATGAAAGATAAAAAAATGGTATTTTTAAGTTTCATATGGAAATGCAATAAATTAAGTAGATACAATTTCTAGTAGATATAGATGCGAATTCTGATAGAAGCTAGAAGTATATGTTAACATAAGTATTTCTCACCAAGGCAAACCTATAAAATTTATAAAGAGGATAATGTATGATTTGCAAGTACGCGCAGTACTTGATAAACAACTAATATGTACCAAGTACCCGCAATTGTTATACGAGTATAACTTTCTCTATAATAAAAATAAAACAATTCTTGGCGTTGAAACTTAAATAGTTAAGGACGCATATGTATATTTTCTTTCAACCAACACATTATTTAATTAAAAGTAAAGCACATTATTAAATATTTCCAAAATAAAAGATATTATAATAGTATATATTATGTACTTATTTCCTCATTGTATTTATCCTGCTAATGGATTTGCATGTATTGTAATGCTATTAATTTTCTTATCCACTAATGGTCTAAAAGTTTTTGGGTTAACCGGTAATTTTTCCAAGTCATCTAAAACTTCAAAACCATCAATTACTCTAAAATATTATTTATTAGAATTGCATTTAATTAACATATATTTATATTTTTTATTATACTTTCCAAAAACCGTGTACTTTAAGTCCAAATTAGGTTGAGCAGCATATGTGAAAAAAAATTGACTTGCATTTGTATCTGGACCACTATTAGCCATTGAAACTATTCCTCTATCATTATGCTGGAAAATATGTGATTATTATTTAGAATTTAGATAATGTTTTTAAATTATATGTACATGGGTTTAGGTATGTAATGCTATTAGACTTACTTTTAAACTTTCTTTGAGCTCATCTGCAAATTTCCCGCCCCATATTGACTCACCTCCTTTCCCCGTATTAGTTGGATCTCCAGTTTGTACAATGAATCCTTTGATATTCCTGATAAACATACAATTATTGTAATAATCACTTGCACACAATGCTAAAAAATTTTCACATGTTTTCGGGCAATCTTCACAAAACAGCTCTATTTTGATTTCCCCGCAATCCGTATGTAATGTAACAGACTGAAAAGTTTTATAATGAGCTATCTATATAATATACACATAAACGTAATGTAAGTAACTTGTGTTTAACATACCATTTTTATTGCTTTTTACAATAATGGCTTATTTTCAAAATGTTTTTTTCTCTAAACACTTGACATAACAAAAATATTTGAACGTCAATAAAACACAAGAATAGTAAACAAATCGTAAAATATGTTTTGACATTTTCTTGTTACGTCATAGTCAATTCCATAAAGACAGAATACATGGTAATTCTACTTTCAAAAAGCATTAAAGTGAATCTACATAATCAGGAAATCTCACTTTTTACCTGTTACCTCTAGTTTAGTACGTAATTATTATTTTATAACAATTACAGTACGTTGAATAGACAAAATTTTATTTACATGCAACATAAGTTAGGTTAGTTTTTCTGTCAAATAAATTTAATTTTTAACTGGTTCTCTAATAAAATGCTGAAGTTAAATGCCAACAAAATTAATACATATTAAAACGTTGGGTGACATATATTTATATAATAATAATTCTAAAATATTTATATTTTTATAGATTAGCGAATTCGCTTAAATTTTGGCAAATGAGCTGTCAAATCTGTCGAATGAAAATGCTGTATGACAAGCTTGGCGAATAAAAAATCAAATTAATATGCAAGTGTTTTTTTTATTGGATATTATAGCATTCATAGTGATATAATGGAAAAATCTAAACTGTCTGTAAAGTAAGTTCATAAAATTTTACAAATTATTGATTGTTTAATATTAATTTGAGCGTGGAAAAAAACGAACCAAAAACAATTCGAGCATTTAATTAAATTAATGAACAACAACCTCGTAATTGCTAAAGGATAGAAAAATTCAATGGTTTTTGCAAAAAAGCAAAAACAATGAACATATGTGAGGTGTTCACCTAATTATTTTCGGTTGGTTTTCTGATGTCATTTTGGATTTGACGAATGAAAAATTCGCCGATCATAATTTAAAATATCATTTCATTCGCCTAGTCCATTCGACTCGCCTAGCCACTCGCTTCCCCTATCTAATATTTCTAAAAAGTCGAAAATTTTATTGAATGTTTAAATTTTCTCATAAAAACGCAATACTACGTTAGTTTTATTTTATAGAACTTTTAATAATTCAATTCTAACTTATGTATATAAGATCGTAGCACGTTCGACAAATCCAAGCCGCAACATACCGAAAAGTAACATGATCAAAAATGATGGTTATGCTTAAAATTCTTTTAATCTTGTAAAGTAAAATTTATAAGAGTTATGTATGTATTATAAATGTTGAATATTTATGAGTCACCATTACAAATTTGCAAGTGGGACGTTCTGTTTTTGCAGATTTATAAGTACATATGTATGAAAAAATTTTTAAGATTTAATTTATAGCTTTCAGTGCATGTCTGAATTTTTCAAAAACGTCGAGTTTTCCGTAAAAAGTCCAAGCTGTCAGCATATTTGGAATTCTTGTAAAGAAGAATATCAAAAAGCTTTTGAATTTCGGGAACCTGAACCATACATATTCCAATCATTTTTCTGTGAAGCTTCATTGAAAAAAGTTTGGATATTCCTAAAAAAAAAAAAAAGACAAAAAAAATGATAAAAACACTAAAATTAAACTCAAGAGTTTTTTTTTTCGATCCTTTTTAATGATTTTTTTTTATTTTTCATTTTTTTTTTTTTTTTGTTTTTCTGTATTTTACCAGTGGAACATACTCTTCTTTTCTTATAGTTTAATTAAAGTAGATTTATTATTTTATTGATCTTTTTTTTTTTTTATTTTTTTTTTATAATAAAATTTTCTTATTATTTTTTATTTTTTGTTTGTTGTATTTATTTTATTAATAATAAAAGATTTTTATACTCAAGTTAAGAAACCATATCGTATTTAAAAATAATTAACAAATATATATATTATGTATTTTATATAATAATGTATGTAATAATATTTATATATTATAATGTTTAATAATTGTATGTATGTATTTTGTTTAGAATTAGAAAAAATAAACAAAGGACAAATAAAAATGTTTTTATAAATTTTTTTGTGTAATTAAAAAAGTATGTAAATATAAAAAATTATTTCATTAATAATAATGATAATTAAAAAGTAATAATAAGTAATATAATTAATAATAATAAGATTAAATTGAATATAATAAATTTTTTTTTACAAAAAGATCAAAAATGATATTCATTAAATTAGATCTTTTAAAAGAGGACCTAAATTGATTTTAATTTTATGATTAAAGTTTTAATGCATTTTAAATTTTTTATATTTTCGTTTTTGCTAAAAATGCATACTTTTATGCGCCTCTTGGAAAAAAAAACAATCACAATATTAATAAAAATTAATGAATTAATTTACATAAATTTCAAATAAAATATTTAAGAATTAAAAAATGTATTTTAAACAATTTAGAATATTGAATTTTAATTAAGATTTTTAAAGTAAACAAAAAATAATGTTTGTTAATTCCAAAAACAAATAAGTATAAAATATTTTTAAATAAATTTTTCTTCGATGTTTTTTGATTTTCAATTCTTTTTAAACGGATAATATTATAATTGAAATTTTTAAAGTGTATTTAGATTAATTTTGAAATGAAATTAATATTTTCTTTTTTTAAAATTTAAAATATTTTAATTTTACTTCGTTTTTCTTTACAAAAAAATAAAATGTTAAATTGTTGTTTATCTATTTGAAAAATTATATTCTATTATTTAATTAATTTTATCAATTTATAATTTATGTTAGTGTATTATAAAATATAAAAAATTAATATTACTTAAATTTCTATATGAAAATAACATAAAAAATTTTAATCACATAATATTTTCTGCAATAATATTTTAATATTAAAAATTATTTACCAATAAAAATTTAAAAAAATGTTTTTTTTTTTTTCGAAAATTTTGTTTATCAGAATTGATTTTATTTCTTTTTATTTTTTTCAATTTGAAATTAATTGTGTATTTCAGTCATTAATAATAATTAATATAATAGAATATTTACTTTAAAAATTTAAATTTAATTTGTTAATAACGAAAAATATTTATTAAAAAAAGAACGAAAAAATTGATAATTATTCTTATTTTTTATAATAATCATTAAACCTTAAATATTAATTTCTTTTTATATATTTTTAATTAAAATATTATATAAATCAAAATCATTTTAATTCAGCAGTGTTTTATTAATTTATTTATTTTTTTATGTATGTGTGTTATGTAATTAGTATTTATGATATAAAAAATATAATATGTATATTTTTAAACTGGAAATTATTTAAGTACTCGGGACAAAAATTAAAAAAAAAAAAAAAAAAAAACAACTTGAATAAATCGAAATGATAAAATATTATTATAAAAATTTAAAAAAAAAATTTTTTTAATTTATTTTACAAATAATTTAAAAATCAAATTTTTGAAATTCACAGAATTTATATTTTTTGTATGAAAAATTTTTCTTTTAGCATTTAATTTAATTTAATTTACAATGACATAATTATTTATTGAAATAATATTTTTGAATATTATATTGTAATTTAATTCAAAATTTTTTATATTCTTCTGAAATATTAAATTTGTTAATATTTAATATGAAATAAAATTGGAAATTTAAATAATAATTGAATATCAATTCGATCTATTGTAATGTTTTTTTTTTTTGAAATAAAACCAAGGATTTTTTTTATTTAAAAAAATTTTTTGTTAAATAAAAGATTTCAAATAATAATAAAAAAAAAAAACTTTTGTGTTATGCGTGTACAAATATGGTCTCACAATCATAAACCAAAAATTTTTTTTTCTTCCCAGGACCCTATTGCAACAACCACTTTTACTTTTTAAAACTTCATCTGTTAGCGTTTTGATTCATGGTGCAACAGAAATTTTGCAAATTTTTTGGTTAATTGATTAAAAAAAAAAAAAAGTAAAAAGTGTTTGGTGTAATACGGCCCGGCCCAACTTTTCATCTTTTAATTTGTTCTTATTTTTAAGATGGTATTTTTATTGTTTTGTTTTTACTTAAAATATTTTCTTAATTGTTTATACTTTTCCTCTGTTTTTTTTTTATCCTTGGTGTGCAGTTTCGTTTTTCTTCTTGTTTAAGTTCGACATTGCTTTAAAGTTGCATTTGTTTTTTTAATTCATAAATTTTATTTAGGATTTTTTTTTTTTGTTTTTTTTTTTATTTTTTAACTTTTTTTTTTTATTTTTTTAATATTTTTAAATTTTTTTTGTGTTTTTTTTTTTTTATTATTATTATTTTAAATACGATACAGCATATCTCTTAATTGTTACAATACATAATTTTATTTTCTTTACTGACTGACTCGTTTTATGTTCATTTTGATGGTAAAAAATATATAAAACTAAGTCTTTTATTCAAACCAAATACTTAAAAAAAATTATTGTTCATTTAATCAAATTTATTTATTGATGTTATTATTATAAAAGTAATTAAATGAGCAAAATGTTCTTAATTATTTTTTTTTTTTGTATTTCAAATTTTTTAAGGATTTGCTCAAATATAAGTAATTTTTTTTTGTTGTTTTTAATTTTAACATCATGGTTTTCAGCTTTTCAACTTATATATTTTACGGTCATATATATCTATTAATTTATATAATTTTAAAATTAAGAATTTAAAAAATCAAATTGAATATTAATTACAAAAGAAGAAAGATATTTGGAAATAAGATGTAGAAATTTTTTGTATCATTTTATATTTTATTAGCAATGGCAGTTTAATTTATTATTATTTATTTTTATTAAGTTTTCGTATTTTAAAGTGTAATATAAAAATTTAAGCTTAACTAAAATGTGAATAGAAAATGGTAATTTTTAACTTTATGAAATGAAAAAAATTTAACTAAAAAATTATCTTTTTTTTTGTAAGATTTTTTTTTTTAAATAACTAAATTCAAATTAAATTTTAAATTCTTAATTTTAATATTACACATTTTCGAATATTATTTTATTATTGAAGATTATTATTATATTTCTAGTGAATTAATACTCCATTCTTAACTTGAAAAATATAAAAATTAGCGAAGATTAAAATTAAAAAGAAATGTTTGTGAAAATAATAGTGAAATCGAAAGAAAAGAAATAAGAAAATAAAAATTATTAAATTATATTTTGATTGGGTAAAAATAAAAATAAAGAATAAAATAAAAAAAAAAATAAAAATTATAATAAATTTTCTTTTATTTCTAATTCTTTCGGTACTGAATATTAAATTCAAATAATAAAAAAAAAAATGATTTCATGACAAAATTATAAAATTATATATTTGCGTTTTACTTTACTGACTACATATTTTTTGAAAAACTAATAAAATTTACTACAAATTTATTGAAAATTAATTGTCAAATTATTTGAAAATAGGGCAAAAACAAATTAACTAAAATAAATTGAATCTAAATTATTTTTTACATAAATTTTGAAATAATATTTAAAAAAAAAAAAAGATTTTTTATGCAAGTACAAAATATAAAAATTAAAAAAAAGATATTTAGTGATATTTCACAATTTGACTCTATAATTATTTAATATTGAAGTTTTAAATTTTTGATGATTTTTACTTTTCTTTTTCAAATTTAAAATTTGAAATTAAATTTTGCTGGCAATTGCATTTTGCTTTTCAATTTTTAGTTTTACATTTACTTTGATTGCCTTCTTCCTTTTTAATGTTCGATATTATATATCAGAAATAGATTGTTATTGCTGTCCAATACATCATGTTGTGGTGGTGCCAATGGTGATTTTTGTCCTAATGGTTGAAAACCTAAGAACAAAAATGTTCTTACAAGCTGTGAACGATCTGGACGATCTTTACGCATGCACAAAACAACACCATCAACATCTAATTTTTCTTCAGCAAATTCCAATAATGATATGAATGATTGTTTTGAAGCTTCTGGTAAAAGAACATTTGGTAAAGCAACATACAAGATATTGTTTGCTGGATTTAAAACCTAAAAAATAAACAATATAAAAATAAAAATAAATAAATTTTTAAGTAAAATTTCAATTTAATATTTTAAATATAAATGCAAATAATTATTTTTAATTGTAAAAAAAAAATAAAAAATAAACAATAAAAAAAATTTTAAATGTTTACTTACAGTATCCCAAGCACTGCTTACATGTTCAGTTACATGCAACTTAATAACAATTCGCATTGGACGCTTCTGTTGTAATATTTTCGATACAACTTCTTGGCAATCAGTTTCTGATGAACATGTTGAAAAAGCATCATGGTTGTCAGCAAAGTCAATATCAGAAAAATCATCTGAACCTGATGAACTGCTTGTGGCTGAACCCACGGATGTTTTTCGATTGTAATCTTTAAGAAAAATTAATATATGAAATTTGTTAAAAATTTATATCCAATATCTGAAAATTATAATAAGACCAAAAATACATACCAGTTAAGAGTGACGCCCTATCGTGATCTGTTCTGTGGTGGGTAGGGACATCAGGACCACCACAGAGGCCTAAAATTCAAAAATAATAAAAAATATTTTTTAGTTACACTCATTCATTAAAGTTCCTTCTTTTCAAATATTACTTACCCTACACCGAGAGAGATACAGTAGGACTCATTAGACATGGTAGTAGCGCAGGAGGAGGTAGACATGGTACGGGATTTACCACAACTACTACTACTACTCATTGGATCGCTAAAAATGGTATATAAAAAAAAAAAAATTTATTTTTAATAAATTACAAAAAAATTATTTTGCTTATCATTTAACACATTTTAAATGTAGTGAATATTAGAAAAGTGTTCCAAATGAGCAAAGTTAACATATTTTATTTATTATTATGATTTATCAGTAAGTAAAATTTCTAACAATTTACTTTACTAAAATTAAATAATATCTTACAAGATCTTATTTTTGATTACATTAAAAATTTTCCAATTTAATATAAAAATTTATACAATAAGAACAGAAATTTTATGCACGATATGGATAAAATAAGTATTGTTCATATAAAAAAAAATACCATTGAAGTCTAAAAGTCATAAATTGCAGCCATGTGCTTAATAAAACAATTATTAGCTAAGTTTATTGTTTATTGTTCTATTCGTTCTAAAAATTTTTAAATTACTTACATCCGAATTTTAGATTATAAACGTTTTGTTTACTTTAAAAATGTTGTTGACCTTAAAATCGAACACGTAGAAATTTTTAGTCAAATATTTCTAAAAGCAGAGAAAATTTTTCAATTTGCTTTTTTAGTTTACATTTATAATGTTGTGAATGCTATCGGGAAAATATAAAATATTATCATTAAAATAATATGTTTGTTACTAGTATTTTGCTTCTATACTTCTTATATTAATTATAGAAAATTTGAGAAGAAAGGAATTTGTTTAGGTCGACATGATTCAATAGAATATTAAGTTACATAAAAATATGTGAGGGCTGTAATAAAATTTTATATAAAACTGACAAAACTAAATAAGATTAAGGAAAAAAATCAGAATTCCTTTTTTTTTCAATTCAATTAATATTTTTTCAATTTAACTATAAAATGTATTACAGTGTTCCATTTTCATTTTATTTATTAAATGTTTATATTGAAATTTTCAAAGAATAAATAAAATAAAATTGATTAAAATTTGTATTGTGTTTGTTTTTCAATTAACTTTATTAATATTCAATTATTACGTATGACAAAAATAATTTGTGTTCAATTAACATTATTACAATCAGTCAGTCAGTCAATAAAATTGAAATGTTTTAATAAAAAAAAAAACTGAAAATAAAATTATTTTAAACTAAAATAAAGCAATAATGTTTAAATGATGAAATATTTTAAATAATTTTTAATAATATTTTGTAAGAGAAGGTCAAATTTGTTTTTTTTTTGAAAATGTTTTACTTATAATGAAAGTATTAATATTGAATTAGGACAACTTTCTCTCATAAGAATTTACAAATATGACAACAAAATAATAAATGAGTATCTTTAATTTGAGTCAAAATTTTGAATATAAGTCATAAAATCGACTCACCCTGCCCCTGTTTACTTTTATTTCAAAATATCGACTAAATTTGTTTCCTAAGAAAGGAATTGATTTTATAATTAAATTTTGTTATATTTTGCAAATGAGCTAGATAAATATTTATTTATTTTTTCTCCTTGGTATTTGCGTGACATTTGAAATGTTTGCAGAAATTTTTGACTGTCATTTGAAATAAATTCTGTAGGCCAATATTTCTGAACAAGATTTGAATCCGAAACCGTTCGAATTCTAAGGGGCAACACTACACTATCTTCAATATCTGTAATACTTCGCGCATTCAGTGGGTAAAAAAATTATATAGAGAATAAGAAATTTAATATGCGCACAATTATATGCAATTTATTAATGAAATGCATTCTAAAATATTTTAAATGAATTCGAATTGAAATAATTGTTTTTTAAATTATTTAAAAATTAAATAAATTTCATTATCCAATAATAAGATAGGTGTTAAATTACTTTTAAACACCATAAATTATATTTATATTATTTTAAGATATTAATATCAAAAAAAAAAAAAAAAACATATTGTAAATAAGAAAACAATTTATTTTTTACATTATAAATATAAGAAAAAAATTTTTTCCACTTGTCTATACTCGGTCTGTGTTTGCCTACCTGCAATAAACATTTTATATGAAATTTTTTATACCACAATGTAAAATGAGTTTGTTTTACTTTAACAAAAATAAAAAAAATGTTTTTTTTTTTTTTTTTTTTTCATTTTAAATTTATTTAAATGATTGAGAAATATTTTTTATACGATCGACGTCACATTCACATACATATTTTATACACATTTAAAAATTTAACAATTAATTTGTTATTTCATTTATAGCTATTTCTTTAGTTAGTATTGGTATTTGATTAAATAACTTTTATAATAATAACGCAATACTGAATGATTCAATTAAAATTCAATATTTAAAATAATTTTTTTAAATTGAAATAAAATTTTAAATTGCTTTAAAAATGACGTTAAGAATTTTTAAATAAAATTTTGTAATTCAAAAAATACAAAATAAAAACGCAAATGCTATTTATAATTCACAATATTACTTAAGTTTAGGCATTTCTAATTCAAAATATAACATTCAAGATAATTATTGTTTCGCGTAGCATTTTAAGTGAGTACCAAAAAAAAAAAATTGAAATTCAGCAAAAGTTAAAAAAAAAAAAATTGCATTATTTGGTGTTTTTTTTAAAAATAATGACTTAGGCAAAATTAATGGTTTTAGTTATAGTATTTATGAATAGCTTTTTCTAAAAAAAAATTAAATTTTCGGAAGAATTTGATAAAATATCAAGTTGGGCCGACTTCTACCAAAAGAATTTTTAGTCAACTAATTAAATATTGAAAAAATTTGCAACAATTAAAAGCAGAAGAAGTTCAAAAGTAAAGAAAATTTAAGGTAAATGTAAAAGTGGTTGGTCCAATAGTGTCCAGATTCTCTTTTTCATGAGGACGCTGTCACAGACGCTGTTTGTGCAGACAATTAAATTTAAGTTCACTATTTCTAAATCAATTCCCTTATGTATAGTTTTTATATCCTTACAAGTTAATTATTTAAAATATTTTGACAACAATATAATGAAAAAAACAATTATTTTATAATATAATCCATACAATAATTTATTAAACTTAAATCTAAACCGATATTTCGATTTAGATTGGAAAAAAATTAAGATTATTGGGTCAGTACTAAATAGAAATAAAGTCACAAATTCATTTGGAAATCCAGGTAATTGATTTTATGTATTTGATTCCTACCTATCTATCCTACACAAATAATTTATGAACCAAATACTATAGAATAAAAATACCCTAAATACTTATAAACTAAAAAAAATTTTACATTTCAATGAAATAATATAAAAATTATTATTGCAACTAATACAAGTCAATTTCTTAAAATTTTTAAGAATTTTATAATTAATTATCGAGAATGAAAGACCCCAAAAAAAAAACAACACAAAAACTATAAAATTCATAATCAGTGATCATTGTATTTAATCAGAAATCCAGTTGAAAGTTCATTGAATTTTAAGAATATTATATTTAATTGTAATATTACAAATGTATTTTGGTATACTCAATTTACCAGAAAGAAAAAAAAAAAACAAAACATCAATATTTGAATAACTGAAAAAAAAGTTATGGAAAATTACCAGAAATTTTTCTATTTCTATTTTTTTTTTTTCTATTCTTTATTGTGCTCTACATTTTTAATGAATGGTAATTATCAAAAAAATTTATTTATTCAAATATCAATGAATTCATTTAAATAATATGCCCCATAGTATAAAAAGTAATTTAATTTTTTTTTAGATTGGTTTTAAAAATTTCTTTAAACGAACCTGATTATTTTATTTAAATTTAATAATTTGACAAATTAATAAATTTATAATTAAATAATTCAATTGCTTCTAAGACTAAATTTTCAATCTTATATTACAATTGTAATAAATACTAATAACTTGAAGGCAAAGACGTTTTTTGCCAAAAAAAAAAAATCATTAGATATCCGATATAGTGTTCTTTTGGGATAAAATAAGCAGTTTCACGTCTCCCACACGTTGTTTTGAAGTCCAAAAATTGTTCAAGGTTCAAACCTCAATTTCACTAAAAAAGTCTATTTTTTGCAAATACAATGAAAACAACAATTAAATTGTTCAATATGACAATATGATAAAATAGGTATCAAAAATTAATCACTTAGACATATTAAGTTCCATTTTCCAACAAGGAGTAAGACTGTTATGGATAACCCTTTACACAAAAATTCTTATTACTTTGCAATTATTTAAATATTTATTTTCAAAACTCTGCAATTGCAATTTAATCAAAAAATCCCTAATAATTATAAGAAATTACAAGAATATTGGGAAAAAATTAATTTATCCCTTTAATTGCTTTGAAATTCAATTTTGAAAAATTTTATTTTTATTTTAAATTAATTCTACTTTCTCGATTAATTTTTGCTTCTTAATTTATTAATTTGGTAATTACTTAACCTAAATTTGTTCTATGATTGTATTAAAAATTTTCAAAACCTTACCCAATATTTATAGGTTGGCTTTTAGCTACTTCAATTAAGTTCGCCGTAATGAAAAAATTCAAAAAAATATTTTAAAATTAAAAATTAAATTTATACTAATTTTTTATTTTCCTTTATTTAAATATAATTTCAACTTTTATTTGAATATCAAATATAATCACAATATAAATTTATAAAATTAATATAATTAATTAAAAAAAAAATATTAAAATTAAATTAAAAAATTTTGTTTATATTCTTTTTTCGAAAATTTTTTATTTTATTTTAACTATCACAGAATATGTTTTTCTTTTTTTTAATATTATTTAATTTTACATTTAATTAATATGGTTTAATTAATAATTAAATTTAATAAAATAGAATATTGATTTCTTCACAAGAAATTAAACAACCACCAAAATTAATTAATTATTTTGTTATTATTGTTTGAGTTTTAATTTATAACTGAAACAATTTATATAATTTTTAAATAATTTATAAACCAAAAAGCAAAATAAAATTCTATTTATGATGAAAAACAATTTTTAAGACGTATATAGGTAAAAAAAAATTAAAATAAAGTACTTTTGGTGTTTTTATTATTGCC